ATTATAATCAATTCACGGAAATAAAATGGTTATAGTATCTACAGAGTCCCTTTAAGCTCCAAAAAACACACTTTTTTTAAAGTGCTCCTATCATACCCCAAACAACCTATACTCATTAGATTGAACATAAGATTGTATCTTTACATTGTGCTAGCAGTTTTACTAGCAAATGCATAGATTCGGAGTAAAACCTATTTAATAACTGTTTTTTCACAGCCGTCAGTCAATCCCTTGGTGTTACACTGCTGCCCACTCTATTTGTGTCTTATTAAGGGTTAATTAGTTTGTAGGGGTTCATAAGAATGCCCCTCTCTGTCTAATTAGAGATTTTGCCTTTCAGATTAAAGCAGCAAGGTGAATTGTTAGTCTAGGACTCACCTATGGGGTTTTGCCTTGACGTGACAGGTTATCTTCCTAACACTTTAATAACCACTCGAGTGATTCGAAAAACGTATATTATTTAAATTTTTTGCATGATACCCTGCAACAGCTGGGTGGGTAGGCGCAGCAGTCGCAGCCTGTCATAGTTGTCCAAAGTTGCATCTAGAGGTTGAAAGGACGTATAGATATAGCTCATTCTCACTCATAGCCCATCATTCCTGTAAGGTCCAAGCCTCGGCCAGATAATGTTTAAGCATAATGTCTGCAGTATCTGAGAGTCCTTCGAGGACACTTATCGCATAGTAATCGCTACAATGAACTGTACATTGGCTGCAGTGGTTATGGTCCATAGAGTGTCCCTTTAAGCAGAATAAGCTGATCTGTTGTGAGTGGCAGCCTTCTAACAGACTTATATATTCTCAAATGTTAAGTCATTGTTTCCAAATTATTGAAGGCCAAGAGTAACTCTTTGCCAGCCCCACTAAGTAATATGTCCGCCTTTCAGTTCACTGCAAAATGTAAAAAACATTTCTGTTTTAATAAATCATCCTGCAGCGCTCAGACATTTGAGTTTATGACGGTTATGACAGCGGCGTTACATAGCTTGTACACTTGTGACAGATCCCAGCTAAGGCAAGCGATCTCTCGAGAAGAGTAATCCGCAAATACATTTCATTTTAGTAATGTTTAATTTGTAAGAGAAATTTAGTAACAAAGTTTCAGGCTTGTACTCCGGAGAATTCTGTAAAACTGTCAAATGAAAATGGGGTAATTAATCACTCTGTCTGCAGAAGTCTTTTGTATTTACAATCTGTAATGTAAAGAGTCTATAAGGAATGGACAAGAATGCAATATATCAGACTGGAGCATTCGATATGTGTGTACTCGCCTCTGTACAAAGTTAGTTGTAAAATCTGTCCTTATACATGAGTAGTTACTGCATGGGCATTTAAAAAGGGGGTATCACTATACTATCACCACTAAAAGGTAAACTTTGATTTCCTAGAAATTTTAATGTAATGTTTACTTATCTCCAATATTTTACAAATATTTGTTTACGAGGTCTGAAAAATACAATTACATGTTGAAATCCACTTCTCTCTCCTGGAACTGAGTGTCTACATCTTGAGCTCTGTCATTTTCACCTATCAGTCAGCAGAGGACAACCAGGGTAAACAAACAGTCTTTTTGTTTCTTTATATCCAATGCCGTCTGTACCACATTTGTATAGACAGAGAGACATTCACAGAGTTTCCCCCATTTTTGTTTGTACCTAGTCCCCTGCTCACTGTAGATGCCCCCTGGAAAGTTCACCCGGAACCAGGATAATGTCATTTTTGTACTTTTCATGTGCAAACTCCATTTGCCTGGCAGTCGGATGAAATGTTTGTGTTTCTGAATGTTGAAATGTGCATTATTTCACTGTATACTTGACTGTAAATCACAGATATCAGCATTGGTTCCAAAGTAATTAAATTGAAAACAACCGAAAGAAGATAAAATGCTCATCTAGATTACCAACAGCTTGGGATAGCCGAGACAGCATCCAGGAAACATAGGGCAATCCGAACAGCATGTGAAAAAATGTCAAACGTCATTTTGGTAACACTGTAATAGCATTGTATTGATATGATACACCACGAAAGTGGATACGCCAGTTAATCTACACATAGACAATAGCTACTTAATCATCCAGTAGTACCGCCACTTGGAAAAAATGTATACATTTGCAAACAATAAAACAAAAACTTATGGTGCAGAATATCTGTATAATGCTACATCCACAACCAGTGTTCCTAATGGATGACACTCACATATTCCGGAGCCACTCAAGCCAGACTATGAACAGCAGCGAGATGAGTAGGGCTAACTCCACAAAGGTTCCTTTACTGTTTACAGCAATTCTGCAGCAGTAAAGCAATGGAAAGAAAAGAACATAGAAGCCTTCAGTAGCATTATAACATCTCAGATATTAAAACTTTTACAAAAAACCCATGTGCGTTTAGCCAAAGAAACTCACTAAAAACTGGCTTCCAACTTGCTACCTTTGGTTCCACTTCCATGTTCTGTGGTGCTCTGATCACATGGAACTCCAAGTCCACCTCCTCAAGCATAACTCATGGCATGTTTCTGCTTTGTCGTTTAACCACGAGGTCATCCTCCGATGAATTGATTTTTGCCTCTCTCCCATTTTAAAGGTTCACACAAACATCCCAGACCTCCCCCAAAATTGTCTCAGGTTATCTCAGGAACATAGGTGTAGAAAAAATGGATATGTAGGTTTTGGATAAGGATATTTAGAGTTAGGGAATTAGTCATGCTTGAAATTTAGTAAAAATAAATGTAATATACAGAGCAGGGCACTAGATATCTTAGTGGGGGCTTTATTATCTGAGACTCCTACCCCCTTACATGACATATGATACACGATCATAAAATATAATAAGAACATGTTAATAGCGTGCACACTTCTAAAGAGAAATTAAAAATACGTTTGCATAATATATGATATGTTCACAGTATTCAGCCTCTGTGCAGTATGGGAAACTTCCCAGCATAGTCGTGCTACAAATAGTGAAGTATAGGTGAAAATATATACCTAGAGACAAAATGTGCCAGTGTATGATTAGAGTCAAAACAATCAATAGGTAGTACAGTAGGGACAAAGTCCTGGGGGTCTTTGAGGTCTTTAGAATGCAATAAAGGGCATGCTGTGCACTCCCCATTTAATTCCATTATACAAAAAACTGAGGCAACATCCAATATGGTAGACGGCTTTCCAATCATAGAACAATTTAGACTCTCTCCAAAGCAAAAGGGGTAACGAAAAAGAAAAACAGTGTATACTTACTAAAGTCACACACAACTATACAAAAACAAACCCACGAATGGTGATTACACACAGTGAGCAATAGGATATACCACTAATGTTTGGAGCGATCACACCAATCACACAGGCACAAGTTCAGATAGTGGTCAGGGTTATTCGCTAAACTATGAATTTGATCAAATTGAATTTGATTGGCAAAAATTAGGCAAAAATAGCAGATCAGCCATAATCACAGCTTGGCCATTTTTGCCTCAGTTGCCCTTTTTGCACCAAATCTGAGTTTATTGGATAACCCTGACATTGTGAGGTTAGCAGGGCTTTGAAGGAAGCCTAATTCTTCCAAAAACACCACACAGTTCTGCCTACTTGTGCTCAGGAGAAGCCCTGCAAAGCTTGCAAAGCTCATGGAATCTAATTGAGAAGCAAAATAATGTATTTAAGGATCAGGCCTTCTATGGACTCTTGTGGTGCTAAGCCGTATGGAGTTTTGCTGAGCTTGGGCTACTAAATACACGGCAGTATCATTAAAGGTCATCAGATCTCAAGTTCACCAAAGACTCATGAGTCAGTCCTAAGAGTTGCTTTCTCTATAATGTTCTTACTGAAAGAGTTAACGATGTTCTTTACATTAGTTGTGTGAGGCACAGCCTGTATAAGTGGTATCAGTAGATGGATTACCATGTGTTTATGGAGCAGTGTGAGATAGATGTCAGACTTGTTGTATTTAATCCAACCTCCTTGGCTTAGAAGCAATAATAACAAGGGTCTAGAACTGCACAATTTTATTAGGGATTACCAAGAACATCAAAGGAAAAGCAAATGGTGCAAACAACTTTAAAAGGATCTTTATCGGTAGCAGAAAATAAAACGGGAAAGGGTTTTTCAGAGAATATTTGCAAACAAGGCAACAGTGCAGTGCGTAACACTTTCAGCCAATTCTGGTTGGTGGGAAAAAGTCATCATAAAGAATTCTGAGGATCAGTAGAGTCTGGAATACTAAAAGAGTGATAATTAAAAATAAACAGGACTTTTTACCCAAAAGGTACAACAAACTAATTAGCACTCACCATAAAAGTACAAAAAGCAAAACAGTTTGACACAAACAGGGGAGATGACATCATATCCACTACAATGTGCTATAGCAGTTAGAGCAATGCAATTTTTTGTTATTTATTTACATTTTAGGGTTACTCCAACTCTTCGCATATGTTTTTTTTATGAATAATGCCCTATTCCTTAGGTCCTTCCCCCATAACTATGACAAAAAGGTGTTACCTACCTAAATACCCCCTGCACTGCTTTCCATGCACACTCCTAACATCACAGCAGCCACGCAAGGTCCAATCAAAGGCTGAGTCGGAAAGGGGAGGCACACAGGTGCAAATATCTCAGTATGTACAATGTTATAACATAAACACTGAACATACTGACTCCTACCACCATGACCACTTCTGAAAGCTGAAGTGGTTATGGTGGTTTAAGTAACCGTTTCAATGTTGTGTTTTATTTTTCCTATTCCATATTTAAACTGACCACAATATATAGATAGAACCCCTTCCCTTTTAAGATGTCATTGGACCTGCCAATTGACTCATCTTAATGTACTATACATGTTTTGCAGTTTCTGTTAATATTTATACAGGTACCCAGTTTACTGAAATAAATTAATATAGAAATAATATTTTTGATACTATATATGCCAATATATCTTAATATATTAATATCTATACATTTAACTTAAGGGAACTCTATAGAGTCAGTAACACAAACATAGATTGACCCTATAGAATTTTTTTTTTTTTTTGAGAATATAAAACTATTTATTGAACACTGATCACCAGTATTTACATTGAAGTAAACAATATACAGTCAAGTAACATTCACTACAGTTATTTACAGACTTTTACTGAAGGGCTGGAACTAAAAAGGCTAGATTAAAGACAGGTCCAAGTCAAAGCATTAACATGCACATCAAGCAGTAGACTACAAAACACTTGCAAGTTTGCATTATAGATGCAGAGATGTTGGTCATTTAATGAAGATTCTATAAAAAGCCCGGACAGAACAAATGCATTATGTACCAGAGCATTTTTGCCGTGTACATCAGGGCACCAAACTCCGTTATTGTGGTTCTCAAAACGGTACTAAAAACAAAAATGGAGATTCCTCAAAAAGGAAAAAACCCACTGAAAAAAAGGGGAAGTATTTAAAAAACAAACAAAAATCTACATGTAAATAGTGATAATTTTGCTGTGCTTCATCTTCTGGACAAGAATGCTATGTTAGACTCTATTCATAAAATGCATTTACAACCTGAGGACATTTCATATTTGCTTTTTTGGCAGGTACCAAGTATGCTTCATCAGAGTCATTCCATGATATAAGGAACATCAGTTCACCACTGCGGTCAGTTGCTCCAATTATTCGCTCTGCACCCAAGCCTCTGGCTAATCCTTTGGGTTTATTAGCTGATTCTCGTTTCTTTTTTGATCTGCTGTCTTCAGATTCACAGTTTGACACAGATTTCCTTTTGTTGCCGTCTGTTTCCTCTTTGCCGCCTTTTTGAGAATTGAGAAAGGCCTCCATTAGGTCAGGGCAGTCTAGGTTTTCTTCTGGTTCCCACGTGTTGTCTGCATCTGTGAAGCCTTTCCACTTCAGGTAATATTCAACTTTTTCGTTCGCCACTCGTCTGTCTAGAACTTTTTCTACAACAAACTCTTCAGGTTCTGCCTCTTCCACCTTCTTGCCTTTGCCAGATTGTTTCTTCCCCATTTTTGTCTGTTCCCGCTGTCCGACTTCCTCCTTGTCCCTTTTAAATACATTAAAAACTCACCTTATTTTCAGTGCCATACGTGTCAGCCAGCGCTGGCTCGGCCCCTGATCTGCCTCCCTGGCTGACATCATTAGAATTGATGATCTCAGTCAATCACAATGCTTTCCCATAGGAAAGCCTTGGATTAGTTAAGATGATCAATTCTGAAGGAAGCGGGCCGGGGGTTCAGAGACACGTGCCACCCTGGCCAATCAGCATCTCCTCATAGAGATGCATTGAATCAAAGGGAAAGTTTAGCGTCTCTCTATGCATGGAACAAGTTTCAAATAAGTAGAAACCTTTAATCATGCAATAAATCTGCGTTGGGGTATCATTGTAAAGTAGTAGAGAATATATTTGGAATTGACCAACAGCTGTTGTACATGGGCGTTTGTTTCAGTATCTATTGCAAGTGGTCAATAGACACAAGACAACTTGTTTTAACTTAGGGAAGGAAAGATTGATTGACAATGGTCTCAATATAATATTTTTGGATAAGCTTTTCAAATGATTTCATATTTTTGGATACATTTTCAAAAGTATTTTTCAAAATATTAAAATATAAAAAATATATCATATAAAAAAAATATATATATATATATATATATATATAAATAAAATAAAATATAAAAAAATTCTGAATATCATGATTATCCAAAAATATTAAATCATTTGAAAAGCTTATTATAAATATTAAATCAAGGTCAATGTGTGAATGTGGGTCTTTATGCATGCATGTTCTGGAGCAGACACCACAGAAACATATTTATTTTATTTAACAGTTCATATATCCCACTCCTGTCCAGAGCGTTTTACAATTTAAATAAATTGAACAATTATTACACAGAATATAAATATACAATACATACAAATATCAAACAAACAGTTGGTGCTCAAAAAATCTTTTTCTTAGGATTCTTAATCAAGTTGTTTTCTTATAATTTATCACACTGCCCCTTTACATGAAAAATAAATACATATAGTACAGAGCATCTATAGAATCAGGGAAATATAAATGCAAACGAAAAGTTGGACTATTGATATTGCACTCACTAGATCTGGATGGATTCTATATTATTATACTCTCACATTGAATGTGCTGGAAAGATCAATCTCCCAGTGACTGGTGGATCTCCTGGAGTTGGTACCGGATCCAAAATGGACACTATAGGCGCCAAGACCACTTCATCTCAATAAAACGGACTGGGTGCCACATACCTGTATTTCTACCGCTGCAATTTAAACCATTGGTATTCTGATGTTTTGACAGCCGCTAGAGGTTCTTCTGTCCAAATAGCCAAATTAACTTATTTCAATCAGATGGTCTCATAGAGACCATTTTATTGGCCCAATGCGGCATTTTGCATAGCTCGTGCACTAGCCTCCTAGTGCTTTCCTATAGGAAGTTTTTAACACTCTATTAACAAAACACAACATATACAATATTAAAGTATAACAAAAAAACATTCAAGGTAGAATTTTAAAACATTGAAATTAATTTTTAAAATGTTTGACATTTTCCTATTTGGGGCATCACTAAATAGCCTATATGGAAATGAACTGTTGTCGTGAAGAAAAAGACGTGTGTGCTCCCGAATGGCATCATAAATAGGGGTTTGAAAGAAAACAAAATGAACTATTCCCTTTTTAACATTTGTTAACAATTCTGATCTGTGGATTGCTTTTTATACATCTTGGAAACAGTGTTTTGGTCAATAAGGACCTATGAGCCCTGAGAATGGTAAAACATAAACCTAGATTATATTTAATCTTCCACGGTAAGTTTGGGGGTCAATAAAGCCAGTTATCTTGACAGCAAGAAGAATAGATTTATCATTCTATGACCTTTGTCTCACTTTTAACTGTACATTTATTTCAATGCCGTTGAGTTTTCCAACTTTCCTTTTACATGTGAAGTGTAACTGGTGAAGGTCATGGGATTAGGCCATCTGTGGATGGTATTTCAAAAGCTTTCCTGTTCTCCATCCTTCTCCACCCCCACACCATTCAGCCTACATAACCTCGTCCTCCTCCACTATTCCTTGTATGTCTCCCTGACAGAATGCAAACTGTCCAGCTCAGCAACACGTTTCAGGAGATCAAGGTGACTACCCAGAAGAACTGGGCTCCATTTCTGCTCCTCCTTCTTCCCCAGAAGGACATATACCCAACCCGTAGGAATTTCACCAGGGAGACAACCTGCGTCAGACAGCCCCAGCTGACAGGCCTTGACTTCTTCATGAGAAGAACACAAAAAACAACATTGAAAATACCTTTCTTTTAAATTGTCACAAATAAAACGAAACATACCGTAAATGTATTGTTTTCGAACTCACAAAAAGCCGAGCGGCTACGATAGTAAACATTGATATTTAATCTAATTCATTGCTCCTAGCTTAAGTCGCTCGTGTTGTCTTCTGGACTACCAACAAATGCAACACGGTTTTTATTGCTATAAAAAATGCTCAGGTCTAATTGATTGATAACTCCTACATTTTCAAATAGAAATGAAAAAAAAAGTTATATGCATTATGTTTTTAATTGTATTAATTGCTTAAAGGATACCTGTGCTCATTTTTTGAAACAGCATAAGATGCTCTCTATACATTGTGCAATCAGTTTTCCTAACAAATATATAGTACAGGAGAAAAACCTTTTTAAAAACATTTTTTTTTCCCTTCCACTTCTCAGTCAAATCCTCGCAGGGCCGTCTTTCATATTGATTGGACCCTATTAAAAGGTAGATCCCCATCTATCGTGCAACTCTAGAAATCCATTGACAGCTGGGGCTCTACCATTTACCCAAGTTTGCAGATTTGTATTTAGCACTAAGCAGTTTTTGTGAGTTTGAATATAAACAGGTTTTATATGGAATATGTTTGTATGTGGTGTTGGCATGACTGCAAGCATGTATTTATGTGCAGTGCTGGTGTTTGAATGCAGGGGTGTATTTACATCTAATTTTGGTGTGTAATACAGAAGTGTGTTTGTACGTAGTGTTGAAGTTTGAATGCAGGGGTGTATTTGTGTGTAGTGTTAGTGTGTGAATGCTGAGATGTATGCACATATACACACACACACACACACACAGATATATACAAACTGAAACACATGCAGACACACAGATATACACACTGGCACACATGTAGATATACAGACACATATACACACTGACACACAGATACACAACCTGACACACATGCAAATACACAGACACACACATAGATACACCGAAACACACAAAGAAAACATACAGATACACACACAGACTTCATACAGATACACACACACAGATATACTGGCACAGAACAGATATACTGGCACATATAGAGACAGACAAACTGACACATACACGCACATAGACATACTGACGCACACTGACAGACATACTGACACACACACCCTTACAGACATAGACACACACTGACAGACATACTGACATACACACACACACTGACAAACATACTGACACACACACACACTGACAGTGTTCTTCGAGGGGTCTGCTTTCCAGCCTCTTGCCTCAGGACTATGTCCCCTGTGTTAAACTTTGGTTCAGGACTATGAAAAGGCTTTCATTGTGCCTTTTCCCCTGAATGGTTCAGCATATAGGGCTTACCGAACAGATTAGACTAATGCTGTTCATATGCCGAACAGACCGACCACCCAGAACCATCGTGTGCTGCTTATTGCCCTTATTGACCTCGCTAACCGCAACGTTCTAAGTGGTTAGCTGGGTGGCCGTCGTTCGTATGTGCGAACACGTGGCAGCGTCCATCTTTAGCTGCGAACATATACAGCGGTGTTTGGTCGTCGAGTGCATGGAACTATAATCGGACACTCGACGGCGCGAACACCGCTGGGACTTCCATCTCTTCATTTGTTTGACTGGATTCACTTGAGAAGAGTGGCGTTTGGTGGAAACCCACTCCCGAACAAGAGACACAGACTAAGTATACATACGAACTGGTTGCATTCGTATTTCTGTTATATTGTGAACTACCGAACTAGACCGACTGCAAGCCCTGATTCTCTGGTGAGAGCGGTGGGATGGCTTCCTAGTGCGAGGAGAAGCATCCTGGAGACACTGTTCTTGGATTTATAATTGAGGGCAACGCTAGTACCCGTACAGCGCCCCTAGCTACAGCAGTATGGAACCAGATAGTTCCCAAACAGCGTTCCTATACGAGGAGGAAGATGACCGAGACTGGAGGGATGCAGCCCGGAAGGAAGTCAGGTATGAAGCCCTGGAGGGTATACAGCGTCGGCGGGGCAAGAGTCTCCCCAGCGAGGAGCAGCGACTACTGATGCAAGTGGCGCTGCGGATGCCCCTCCTGGGAGAGCAGCCTCTGGAGGTGTGGGTGACGGAGCTCGAGAGACTGGTATGGAAGGAACTTTGGTTGGACGATGCATACCAGGTGCTTTGGAGGTACACGGCTCGGCATGCACCCTGGACAGGCCTGAGGGTGAGGATTGCAATGGCCCTGGCCTGTTGTGGGAGTCCTTCGCAGAACTGGAGTTCGAAAGTACTGGAGAGTTCTGATTCTGGGACATCTATGAGTACAGGGAGGGCATGCAGGATTGGTATAACGTTAACGAGGTAAGACAAGACCTGACATCTCTGGCAACAATGGAGTGGGAGCTGGAGCAGGACTACCAACACCTGCTCAGCTCAATTCAGCCTCAATCTACTCATCAGGGAGAGCAGGAGAGCTGAGTGACAGACCCAGATCTGCCATCCTACAGCTGGGAAGACCTGGCCGAGGTATCTCCTGCTTCACTACCAGCTCCAGAAGTAGGGCACCTCATCAACTGGTCCTGGTAAGACCCCCAGTCGGCAGGTGAAGGTGGGACCGAGGTCTCTCCACTGGCCCTACAGGGATGTTGGGCAGCTGGCCCATATCCCCAACTACAGCCGGCATTACCGGGAGTAAGGGCAGTCGGTCCTACTCCCCAGCGGCAGTGTACCAGGCAGGGAGAGGAGA